GAAAGAGTTGATAATTGTGACGTGGCGCAAATCCAAGGACTGCGCTGTGCCATTTTTCTAGAAACAACCAAACCGCCATCTCTTTTCTGAACCTTAATCAAAAAGATAACTTCGACGCGTTCTTGTTTCATATATAAATTTCAATCAGTTCAATCATCAAACATAAAAACTAATTTAGTTCAAGATTCAATCATGGCAGCAGGATCATCATCTCCTCCAAAAGCAACACCACCACCATCTTCATCAGAGGATACAGAGAAATGGGGAACCCATGTCATGGGACAGCCGGCGAACCCATCTGAACACCCTGACAATCAAAAAGCCGCCTCATGGAACGCCGCCGAGCACCAGCAGTTCCACCACCAACCATCGCCGTATCTGATTTACTCTCCCGTCGACAAACCCACCAGCAACCCATTAGAGCCTGTCATCCACTTCTTCAATTCATGGGCCACCAAGGCAGACACCATCTCCCGCAACATCTGGCACAACTGTACACATTCTCATCTTCTTCTTTTTTCCCTTTAAATAAACGAAATCAACTTTACTGATTAATGAGATTTGATTGCAGTGAAAACAGGGCCGTCGGTGACCGGAGCAGCGTGGGGTAAAGTCAACTTAACGGCGAAGGCAATCACAGAGGGTGGATTCGAGTCTATGTTTAAACAGATCTTCTCACCTTCTGATCCAAACGAGAAGCTGAAGAAAACTTTCGCATGTTATCTTTCAACATCCACCGGCCCTGTAGCCGGAACGATCTATCTATCCACTGCTCGTATCGCCTTTTGCAGCGATCGGCCGTTGTGCTTCACGGCACCTTCCGGTCAAGAAACCTGGAGCTACTACAAGGTATTAAAAAGAATCCCTTCTTGAATACCAATTGAATACGGGGTTTGTAGTTCGATTATGTTTCTAATTCTTAATCAAACAGGTTATTATACCATTGGGGAATCTTGGAGCTGTGAATCCGGTGACGATGAGGGAGAAATCGTCGGAGAGATACATACAGATAGTTACGGTTGATGGTCATGATTTCTGGTTCATGGGATTTGTGAACTATGAGAAAGCTTCGATGCATCTTATCAACAGCTTATCGGAATTCATTGGAAGAGCGGCAGTAGCTGGTGATGTCTAACTTGATGCGGTTTTGAGATTCTTGTTGTTCGATGTATAAGACTATATGTAGATCGCCGGAAATTTGTTTGTATTATCTTCTGGTTTGTTCGTATCTAATTACGGCTGTATTTATTTCCGTGTGTATTTTAGATGTCAATTTAGATTTTCAGTAGTTATAGAAATCGTTTTTGTCGATTTTAGAAATTGATTCTATCTATAAATACTTTTGGATTTTAATTATCATTTGCATTTGTGTTACTTTTTAGGTTATAATTATAATATAATTATTATTTTATTTTTAGGTTATAATTACAATATAATTATTATTTTATTTTGACTAATTTTATCATTATTTCTTTATAACAAAATCAATAATACTTTATTATTTAATAATTATATGTTTATCACTAATTTTATTAATATTAATAATTTTAAATTTATTTTTTATTAAGATTAAAAACAATAGAAATTTTATTTTTATAATATAATAATATAAATAGTATTATAAAAATTAAAATTCAAAATAAATTTTCATCAGTAATTTTTTTATTTTATCCATAACAAAAAAAAACGACAACAATAATTTTGTGCGATTATACCCCTACGAAGAATTTGGGTCTACGAAGAATTTGGGTGTGTTAATGCCCAACATTTAGTAAATAAAAAAGATTATAAATGTAATATTTGGAGATATCATTTCACTTCGTCAACAAATTTGATTTAGCAATTTCATTGGTTAATATAATAATATAAAAGATTAAATAAACACATGATTAAAAAAATAGTCATAAACCCATAAAAACTCATATGTTAAAGAATAAATGCTTTTATTTAATATTAATACATTATTATTTTATTTCAATATATATATATATATATATATATATATATATATATATATATATATATAAAATAGTCATAAACCCATAAAAACTCATATGTTAAAGAATAAATGCTTTTATTTAATATTAATACATTATTATTTTATTTCAAAATTTATGTATATATATATATATATATATATATATATATATATATATATATATCATTAAGGGTATATAAGCTTAGATACTCAAACTAACTATTTTATACTTTTTTGCATCACACATATACATTGTAATTGTCCAATGTTCTTATAATTCAGCTTTTAATTGATTTACTTCTAAGATTTTTATAAATTTCATATTTATTTTTGTCTTACATAATTTTCATTTTCAACAATAATATATATAGTTTATGAGGTGTTCGGCAAAAAGATGTGATATAAGAAGAAGACAATACTGAAATTTCGAACAATTTCAAAGGAAATCAAGTTAGGATTTGAAGTATAATAACATTATAATGAAATATCAAACAAAAAGATTAATTATATTGAGTTTGGGTACCTAAGCTTATATACCCTTAAGGGTATATTTACGTTTCCTTATATTTATATATATATATATATATATATATATATATATATATATATATATATATATATATAAAGATCAAAATAATGATACTTAATGTTAAAAAAAAAAAATAGAAACCAATATAACTAATGAAGTATCATACGTGTCGAATTTGTTTATATGTGAGATAGATTATTTATATTAAAAATAACACGAAATAAATATATTCAAAAATAAAATTAATAAAAGACAATATGTTGTATATGTTTGTAAAGTTAAAGGGAGAAAAATAGAAAATAATATATAAATAAAGGGACATAAGTAATATTAAATGTATTTTATTGTTTTCCTATTCTCTTTCTGATAGTTAATCATTACGTCACTAGTGTTAAAAGCTGCGTTTAAAAAATAAAGATAAAGTTAGAGTCAAATATATAGGTCAACACAATATTAGGTTGGTATGTAGTAAATTTGGAATATGATGGTGTCTAAAAAGTAAAAGGTTTTACTTTTTACACACTATCCTATTCGAAGTCTACTACACACCAACCTACTATTGTGTTGATCTATATATTTGATTATAACTTTCTCTTTATTTCTTAAACACAGCTTTTAACGCTAGTGACGCAATGATTAACTACTGAGAATAAGAAAACAATAAAATACATTTAATATTACTTACGCCCCTTTTATTTATATATTATTTTCTATTTTCCTCCATTTAACTTTACAAACATATACAACATATTATCTTTTATTAATTTTATTTTTGAATATATTTATTTCGTGTTATTTTTAATATAAATAATCTATCTCATATATAAACAAATTCGATATGTATGATATTTCATTAGTTATATTTCTATTTTTTTTAGCATGAAGCATCATTATTTTGATCTTTTAAATATATATATATATATATATATATATATATATATATATATATATATATATATATATATATATATATATATTACTTTATAATGCATATATTTATTGTTTTTAAGATCAAAGTCTTAAAAATAAAAAGAATAGATATAAACCTTTGGATCAATTTTAGATGGTTTGGATTAATTGATGATGATCCATGTGAAAAGGAATTAGCCGATCAAATTAGTAGCTTAAGTTTATAAATTTTACAGCTTAACGTACCACTTTTAATGCTTAAAGAAACACAAAGTCCTCTTACACGATTACAAACTATTTGAAATTGTTGAATTGTTAGTCCACTATTTACACAAAGTCTTCTAATGCACATTTGCCTATTTTATTAGTTGCCACCAACACTATCTCGGCCAACCACCGCCTGCAAGACCCGCCGACACCAACATTGCCTTGAAGTTGAACAACACTGTTTACAACCTCCACAACTAAGATCTAAACACCCAAACAATATCTGCTAACCATTGTTGCTTCTAGCCTCACCACTCACATCCACTAGCATATTTGTTGAAACACACCAACGCAACCGATATATCTGTAAACCACCACCGCTGCCGTTTCTAGCCTAACCACTATCGAGGCCTCTCTCTCGAGAAACTGTGTTGTCTTAAATGTGCATGTTAACCAACTATGTTCTTATTTTGTTTTGGTTTGCAGAACTCTTACAATGAAGACTATAGAAGAAAACGAAGGAAATGTGTTGTACAAATATCAAATAAAATCAACAGGTCTGTTTCTTATTAGTCTTTCTTTATTCGATTTTCAGTTTATTTATTTTGCGTACTAGATCTGATTTGTATGTTGCTGGCATCTAGCAAGTAAAAACTGTCTACATTATCTGAAATTAAAATATGTATGTGATTCTCATGCTTCGACTTGTAGGTACATCAATGCTTTACTTCCTTTTATTTATACAAAATTTTAAATAATATTTTTTTGTTAACTAAACTTTATATTATTGATTATTCCATAATTGTATTAAATCATGTCTCATTCAACATTTAAATAGAGTGTTTGATTTTTTTTTTTCAAAACTTAAGGGTTTCGACTTTGTATTTCTTTAAATTATTTAGTAAGGGTGAAAATGTAGTTTTTTTATTTTTGATAAAGACAAAATTTTAAAATAAGGGAAAATGCCTTAAAAGACCAATTAAGTTTCAAAAACGTTCATATTACCCCAATTACGTTTTTGTTGTTCACAAAAAACCAACGAAATAATGTTTTTTATTATAAATCCAAATAAAGTTACGAATAAAAATAACATTTTTTAATGGTGACCGGCATTTGTGGGTTACGTTTCTTTGTTTACCGGTGATAATATGACGTGGATTATTAAACCACATTACATCAAACATAAGTGCCACAAGGATATCGATTCACCATCAAGGGTTCTCAGTGAAGGGTGAAATCGATATCTAGGGTTCTTACATAACGGAACGGTGAACTCGTGTAAGTGAAATTGATTTTTACAGAAGATGAAGGAAAGTTAGTCGATTGTGCAGCAAGGGTTCTCAGCAGCAAACGTGTCTCGTGACTCACTCAACATTGATGTCTCGTGCAGCAAGCGTGTCTCGTGACTCACTCAACATTGATGTCTACCATCAAGGTGTTTTTTCTCCTAATCCCTTGGTTTACTTTCATCCTGATAAAGTACCTGTTATGGGGCTAGATGTACGTAACATGGATTTCAAGAAGTTCAAGACCTATCTCCAAAAATTGATCAACAATAGATGTCGGGATATGTATTACTGTCTTAAAAATCGGCCCCTCGTAGATGGGTTAAGGGAGCTCAGGGATGAAGATGATTATGTTAGGTTCCTTGATGTTGGGTTTGATGATGATGATAATCAAATAAGTATCTACATTGATGACCATCATGAACCCTTACTAGATTGGATTGAAGAAGAAAAAGCTGAAGAATGGGATAGTGGTACTGAAACATATGAAGATGATGTGGACTCGGTATTATCGGATGATCTATCGGTGGACCATGAAGCTGATGATGAGGACATTCAATGGCCTGAAGTTGTTGATCCTTTTTTGTCACAGAAGAACCTTATTCCACAAAGAGGCATAGAGGAAGAAGTTGGTGGTAAGGTAAAAAAACATCCTATTCACGATCCAAACCAAAAATGGGACACTATGATGCCTGAGTTAGGTATGAAATTCTCTGATCGAGATGAACTGAAACATATGTTAACAAATTATGCTGTGTCTAAGGGTTATTCATTGTGGTATGAAAAAAATGAGGCAAAAGCATTGTTAGTAAGGTGCAGTAAAAATGAAAAAGGGAAGCCATCTTGCCCTTTTAGACTATGGGCTAGTCCCATGAACAAGGAAAATTCATTCCAGATCAAGTCACTAACTGATAAACATAATTGTGCTAGACAACAAAAATTGGGTTGTCTTGTTACGTATAAGTGGATTGGAAAAATGTTAATACCTGACATTTTGGAAAGGCCTAAGTTTAGCTATAGGAAAATGGCAGAAGTGGTTAGGAAAGACTATGGTCTCAAGGTAAGTCTTGGGCAGTGTAGAAATGCCAAGTACTTTGCACTAGATGAGATTTCAGGCAATTTGGTAAGCCATTATGAGAAACTGTGGAATTATGGTGCTGAGTTATTGAGGGTTAATCCTGGGTCAACAGTCTTGATCGAGACAAATCATACGCCTGATGCTACACACTACTTCAAAAGGATGTATATTTGCCTGAAGTCTATCAAGGATGGCTGGATTAAAGGATGTAGAAGGGTTATCGGTGTTGATGGCTGTTTTTTGAAGGGTATTTGCAGAGGTGAGTTGTTAACAGCCGTTGGTAGGGACGCAAACAACCAAATGTATCCTCTAGCATGGGCTGTTGTGCCAGTTGAAAACAAGGAAACTTGGATGTGGTTCATTGATCTTCTACTTGAGGACATTGAGATGGGAGATGGTAGGGGTCTTACAATTATTTCAGACCAACACAAGGTGTGTTATAGTTTACATTTTACTTACTTTATTATGTGTTATTATGTACTTTAAAACTAAAATTTGTTATCACCTTGTAGGGTTTAATGGAGGCTGTTAAGGAAAGGGCACCATCATGTGAGCATAGGAATTATGCCCGACACATCTATGCCAACTTTAAGAAGAAGGGGTTCACGGGTGTTGAGTTTAGGAGGTTATTTTGGAGTGCTGCAAAGGCTACAACCGATTCCAATTTCCGATCATACATCAGGAAATTCGTACAATGTCCACAGAAGCTTATGAGCACCTGATAGAAAGAGACCCAAATACATGGTGCAGAGCATTCTTTGAACCTCAGACTTGTTGTGATGCGGTGGAAAACGGTATATCTGAATCTTTCAATGCAAACAATTGTAGAGGCCCGGAAGAAACCAATAATAACAATGCTGGAAGAAATCAGATTGTACGTGATGGAGAGGATGTACAATCAAAAGATTAAGGGGCATAAGTGGGACATGGAAATCTGCCCCTCTATTAGAAAGAGGATTGAGAAGATGAAAGAAGAACAAAGGTATATTATTTAATTGTAAGTGATTTAATATGAAATAACTTACCTTCTTAATATGATTTCAGGTATTGGGATGTTATTCCAAGTGGCGAGGAAGAATATGAAGTGAAATTAGCCCATGAAGTTTATGTTGTTCACCTTGAAAGCAAAACTTGTGGTTGCAGAGCCTGGCAACTCAGTGGTATCCCTTGTGTGCATGCCATTGCTGCTATATTATACCTGAATGGAAATGCAGAGGACTATGTAGCCGTATGGTTTAAAACAAGCATGTTTGGAAGTTGCTATAGGTATCCAGTCAAACCAATAAATGGAGCTAACATGTGGCCTGATGTTCTATTTGATCCCATATTACCACCTCGGCGTAGGAGAATGCCAGGAAGGCCCAAAGTAAACAGAATGAAATGTCCTACAGAAAATGAAGGAAAGCATAAAATTAACAAGACAGGGATGTCCATCTCAAGATGTAGTAATTGTCATCAAGAAGGACACAACAAGAGGCGATGTCCATTGCTCAAAGAAGGTTCGTTTTTATTTTGATTATTCATTCATCTACATTTGTATAATAATTATTATTTTTGTTTTAACAATGCAGCAAATAAAGCAACTGTTAGTGAAGGGGATGTTGAAGAAGGGATTAGTCAAGATGGGATTAGTGAAGATGGGGTCAATGAAGATAGGATCAATGAAGATGGGGTTAGTGAAGTTGGAATTGGTGAAGAAGAGGCTGTTGAAGAAGGCGATATTGAAGATCACCAGGAGGATGAAATTGAACAACAAGAGGATGAGATTGACCATCAAGAAAATCATCACCATCAGCATCAACCTGTTTTTTTCAGCATTTTGTTGCGAAGAAAAGGCGATTACCTTCTGAGAGGATCACGAAACTGAAGTTAAGGAAGAAGGTGGTAACAAAAGATGGAAGTGGGGAAAGTACTGAAAATCCAGTTACTATAAACTAGGATAAGTGTGTTCTATTAGGATTATGTCAGATACTTTGAAATGGCACATCTTTTGGTGCTTAGTGCACATCTTTTGGTGCTTAGGCTTGTCTTTTTGATGCTTAGGCTTGTCTTTTGGTGTTGTGCACATTTACCAACATTTAGTGCCATGTGCACATGCTTGATTATGTGGTTTAATTATGCTTTCATATGTAGTTTATTACCTTTTATGCATATTATAACAATGTACCATTTTACCCCTATTTGTTAAAACTATGTTAAAATTGGTAAAAACTGTTTTGTGGGACTATTTTGTCAATAAAATTACCCTTGTGTTTAAAAACCATTTACAACACAAATTACATGCATAATGTCAAACACAGGTTTTATGGACTATTTTGCCCTTCCTATTATCATTTGATAAAGTGTAATCTTATTATGGACTATTTTGCCCTTGCTATTTTCAATCAATAAAAAGTATGTTGCTATTATGTGTGTTTTCAATAAAACTGCCCTTGTGTTTAAAAATCATTTACAACACAAATTACATGCATAATGTCAAACACATGTTTTATGGACTATTTTGTCCCTGTTATTATCATTTGATAAAGTGCACAGGTTTTATGGACTATTTTGCCCTTCCTATTATCATTTGATAAAGTGTAATCTTATTATGGACTATTTTGCCCTTGCTATTTTCAATCAATAAAAAGTATGTTGCTATTATGTGTGTTTTCAATAAAACTGCCCTTGTGTTTAAAAATCATTTACAACACAAATTACATGCATAATGTCAAACACATGTTTTATGGACTATTTTGCCCTTTCTATTATCATTTGATAAAGTGTAATCTTATTATGGACTATTTTGCCCTTGCTATTTTCAATCAATAAAAAGTATGTTACTTTTATGGACTATTAGCCTTCATAAACACCTTCTATGTGTATCAGTCTTCACAAATACCTTCTTTTCATTCCCACTTCGTAACCATTTTACATGAGTACAATGCAACTACTTTGAATATACATATCCTGATAATTTCAAAGTACATTTTCCTTACATAATAAATTTAACACTAAATCATGTACTTCACTACAAACAAAACAACAAACATCAACACTAAACATTTCATTTTATCCAATTCCTTTCTAAAACTCTTACATTCCTTATCAGTCTTCATCTTATACTCACTGAAATCATGTTCCAATATTGCAATCTTCACTTCAGTATTGAAATCATGTTCTTCATCTTTCTTATTCTCGTTCTTGGTTATAATTTCTTCATCATCATCAACCCATTCCCAGAAATCACATTTATCCTTTGGATCCTTCATCTTCAATTATAACATAAACAAACAATATTGTAGCATGAAAAACAAAAAGGGACCCAAACAAGAACAAGCTTTTAGATATATACTTACCAAAGAGTTAGGACAAACCCTAAATTTTTTACCAGGATTTGCCTTTGTTGTTGATATCCAGATGCGAGAAGGAAACCCACAATCACAAGGATGTGCCTTATCAATTGTGCTTTTTGACTTGGAAATTTTTGATCTTGACCATGAGTTGGAGGATCGAGACGAAGAAGCCATGTTGAAGAAGTCGATTGAAGAAGTCGATAGATTAAGGAGTCGTATCCCCCGAAGCCATGTTGAAGAAGTCGATTAAAGAAGTCGATTGATTAAGGAGTCGTATCCCCCATTATGCATTATATCTATCTAACACAAATGCCACGTAGATATGCCAACACATATGCCAACTCAACAGAAATATGCCAACTCATTTACCCCCATCGTTTACCTACAACATGCCGGTCACCATTAAAAAATGTTATTTTTATTCGTAACTTTATTTGGATTTATAATAAAAAACATTATTTCGTTGGTTTTTTTTGAACAACAAAAACGTAATTGGGGTAATATGAACGTTTTTGAAACTTAATTGGTCTTTTAAGGCATTTTCCCTTTAAAATAATTCATAATAGAAAGAACCAAAGATTCTTTGAATATACAGCCATAGAAATTAAATTAACTAAGGTAGTTGAACCGCTAGGTAATTATGATCAGCAGTAAACTTTTACAATTTTCTAGATTGATAATATATATATATATATATATATATTATATATATATATATATATATATATATATATATATATATATATTAATTGCTATAAACGACAAAGTAAGGGGTTATATTTATTGTTTTTTTTTTATTATTTTTATAGTTTTAATGAATAATGGTATTTTGATGTCTTTTATAAATTGTGAAAGATGCTATTATCATAAATTATTTTTTCCATATAAGATTTATCATGAATATTGTTGGCAATTAGATATAACAAGAGTTCCATTTGAAGAGTTTAAAAAGTTATTCAAAAATATAACAAGGGTTTCTTTTAGAGAATTTAAAAAGTTATTCAAAAATCTTTTAATGGTTATTATTGATCCAAATGCTAGAACTTTTTAAAATTAAAGTCTATTGTGGAGCTGCAGCATTGTTATTTAAATAAGCTCCAGCCTAAGTGAAAAGTTAACAGAATTTTCTTTCTACCCCAACTATTCAATACGTTACATCATTTCATCTCTAATCTATATTTTAAGTATTTCATTTATTAATATAAGTTTATAGTTAATACTAATTATATATAATCATAATCATTATAAATATTTTAAAATGAGATTACGACACAATAATTAATAATTTAATAACTCTTTTTTGTAATATACATGTTTAAACTCTGGTGGTGCTTTTACAAATATTTCATGTCCACTTTTTATATTTAGAAGTTTTCTATACAAATAATATTTTTTAAAATTTATCCTAAACATATTTTTATATAAATTAGAAACTAGGTTAAATTATAATTTTGTGATTGAAAATGAAACTATTTGTTATAAAGTTTTAGTTCAAATTGGCAAAATCTGACTAATATAATTGAGCGGGACTATCTCAAATGAAAACAGAAACATCAAAATCCATAAAAGTGGAACTAAACGAAAAAGTTGATATGAAAAAACATGAATTTGAATCGAATAACAAAAGAAAAATATAGATAGATCAAACTAGACAAGAAGGAATCCAAATCGAAAATTTAAGCCGAGTAAAAAAGAATAGTACAAAAAAAGAGTGGCCTACAACCCCAAATATATATCAAAAACCAACATTTCGACAACCAGGAAAAATTAACTAATCACCGCATGAACTATTCGTCATCTGTTGCATCGTGCGGGTACGCTGCTAGTATATATATATATATATATATATATATATATATATATATATATATATATATAAGTTTTGAAATAGAATAATAATGTATTAACATTAAATAAAAGCATTTATTCTTTAACATATGAGTTTATATGAGTTTATGACTATTTTTTTTAATCATGTGTTTATTTAATCTTTTATGTTATTATATCAAGCAATGAAACTGTTAATTCAAAAATTTGTTGATGAAGTGAAATGATATCTCCAAATATTACATTTATAACCCTTTTTATTTACCAAATGTTGGACATTAACATACCCAAATTCTTCGTAGGGGTATAGCCGCACAAAATTGTTGTTGTTTGTTTTTGTCGTGGATAAGGTAAAAAAAATATTGATTGAATTTTATTTTGAATTTTATTTTTTTATAATACTATTTATATTATTATATTATAAAAATAAAATTATTATTGTTTTTTATCTTAATAAGAAATAAGTTTAAAATTATTAATATTAATAAAGTTAGCAATAAAAATATAATTATTAAATAATAAAATTTTATTGATTTTGTTATAATGAAATAATGATAAAA